TGTTCCACAAGACACTTCAGATAAGGACATCACACGAGGCATAACTATCATGCGGGGAATCATCCATGATAGAGATAGAGGTATTAAGTATAATGTAGATTGGAATAATGATGACCAACTAATTGGGCCTAATTCTGCAAAGCTGACAAGCTACATCAGTACGCTTGTTCGTATGCACATTCCGATCACCACTCCTAGCTGGAAAAAAGGAGAGTTGGATGCTAAAGAAAGAATTTGGACCGAGATAAAGGTATCATATATGGTTGTTGTTATTTGCTTTATTTTGACGAAAATATTGTTTTTAAATTACATATACTAACACCCTCTATGCGTATGTTTTTTTGTAGAGGTCTTTTAACATTGAAGATGCCCGCAAAAAGTATATAATGGGCTTGGCCGGAAAAAGACATAGAGGGTGGAGAAATTTTTTGACAAATAAGTTTCTTAAAGACTATGAAGGAAATTTTGTTGAAGAGGATCCTGAACGACCAAATAAATATGAGAGCTTCATTACACCCGAAGAATGGGTTGCTTTTGTGGGCCAAAGAAGAGACGAGAATTTCAAGAAAGTGAGTGCTGTAAATCGGGATAGAGCGTCAAAACCCGCATATCCATATAAAAAAGGTCGTTTGGGATATGCACGCTTACAGGAAAAAATTGTAAGTAAATCTCAATTCTACGATCTTATTAATTATCTCAATGTGTATTATTAATTTGTAACAATGTGTATTGATGATTTTATTATTTGTAACAATGCGTAGTTGGAGGAGACGCAGAGTGACGAAACATCACTACCTGCACATATGCTGTGGAAGGAAGCTCGTGTTGGCAGAGATCAAGTTGTTAACCCCGATCTGCAACATATTTATGATGAGTGTGTAAGTATACCATTATGTCTTTAATTAATATATAATTAACGTTGTGTCTTTAATTATAGATATTTAAATGAATTACAGGAGACTATATCGCAATCGGTATCCACGGGTGATGACCCGAATATCAGGAGCGTACTCAGTCGAGCACTATGTGTTGCTGAGTATCCGGGATGAGTGAGGGGTAAAGGCCATGGTGTGACTCCTACCTCTCTGTATAACAATCCAAGAAAAATAAATCCTAGCAATGCAGAAGTGATGCAAACATTGCAGGATTTACAAGCACAAGTCCGTGAACTGCAGAGGGACAAAGAGAGATATATGGCAGAAAGGAGCAGTTCACAGTTGAAAGAAACTAGTGACAAGGCTAGTATCAACTGTCAACAAAATTTTCCCGAGGTAATTAAGATGATAATCCATTATATTTAGAGAAAGTATAATTATAACGGTTATTATTGTCAACATTAAAGGAAGTCTAACGGTTATTATTGGTTTAGGGCATTTCATGTTGTCAGCTGTATCTAGCGTCTCCGACTTATCGGGTAGTTGGCAAGGGAAAAGTGCACAACACCTCGGGAGATTTAATTCACCATAGATCTCTCCCGGATGGCCACATGAAGGTATCGGTTGATGTTGTTTTAGATATGAATGCATTGCTACCGGTACCTGACATTGTTGCGGAGACCACATTGCTGCGAGATGCAGTAGGATCTTTTGTGGCATGGCCATCAGACCCCATCTGCATAGATGATCAGGTATGTTGAAAACCATTATGAATCTTTAAGTATTCAACTGACAGTTCTGACCTGAATTTTATACATGGTAATTTTAGACTCCTACAAAACCCGCATCTAAGGATAAAGGGATTTTGCAGCGCGGCGAGTCTATTGCATCGCAAAGACAGGTACTTTTAAAGTGTTTCATTTATGATCGGAATAAAAAACTGCATAACTTTGTATCTTACATAATTCTATATGATTTTTAAGGTACCTTCTCAAGATCACTCACAGCAGGTGAGCCAGAAAGTTAGTAGGGTTCCACCTAAGAAGAAGGTTCCTGTCCGTAAATTTGTGCCTAGGTATCGACAGTGTCTGGAGACACTAGTTGGCACATCAAATTTGATGAATGATGGAATTCGTCAAATCGATGTGGATGAAATTGTCTTTGGTTTTCCATGTACCGAAACAATTGGATTAGAGGACATGGAACAAATCTTTCATCATCGAGAGTTAGGCATCAGTGTGATGCACTCGTACATCCGGTAACCCGATCAATATATTATTTAATTGGTTGAACGTTTTTTTTTAAACATTTAATTGAAATAGTCTAATATTAATTATGTTTTTATTTAAGGATGTTATTTGACAAATTGATGCGCGGGAATCAATTGTCAAATAGATTCTGTTTCGTGTCTTCCTCCCGTGTCAGCGGAGCAACAATTTCTAGGGAACCTGATTCAGTAAGAGAACACTTGGTCGAAAGATTCATGACAACTGCCAGTACAGAGAGCTTGTATCTTTTGCCTTATAATACAGGGTTAGATTTTCATTCTAAGCTCCTTTTAATATTTGTATTTTTTACATTAAAATTCGCTTCTAAATTGTTGCTTTAATTTATAGATGTCACTGGTTGTTGCTTGCAATCAATCCCATAAAAGAAGTGGTCTATTACCTGAATTCGGTTGACGGTGATTGGACAAATTATACGGAAATGAAGCTAGTGATTGATACGTAAGTGACATTATTCTAAATATTCGTTTGTGTTTATATATTTAATTATTTCAATGTCATTGTTCTAAATAAATATTTTAATTTTGTCATTAGTTCAATAAAAGTATTCCGATGTCAAAGGGAAGCACGAGTACCACGGTCTAAATCAAACAACATTAATTGGATCAAAGTACAGGTATATAAATTTCAACAATTTTGCTTATAATATTTATGCTACTTGATAAATCAATAGATGTGTATAATCTTATTTGTTTTTCTATGTAATGCCCTCAACAACAAAACGGCATAGATTGCGGATACTTCATTTTGAAGTTTATCAAAGAAATCATTCAAATGAATGAAATCGAGATTCCAATCACGGTATGGATTTATACTTTGTTTTATTACTTATCGGATTTTGCATATAATTTATTATATTAAACTAAATCATGCATATATTTTGTTTTGTAATGTAGTATTTTGATCAATACAATTGTCCATATTACTCGCCACGTCAATTGGAAGAACTCAAAGAGGAGTTGTGCCAATATTTTATTGAGCTAAGAATCTTATAATAAGGTACGAATACATTGTTGTGTGAAAATTGGTTAATTATGAATATATTGTTTTGTGTATACAACACTGACCGTGTTATTATGTTCATATTGCAGGATCAGGACCTTGGATATATATGTAGATTAGGATTGATTTACTTAGTGTTATATAGCTGATTTCTTAGGGTGTATTTTGTTACGTTTAAAAACATGTTAATATTGAATTACCATGGTGTATATATATTTTGGATATGAATTGATTATAATGGTATTTGTATATATATATAATATTTGGTATTTGAATTACATTTGGTATTTGGATTAAAACTAATATATATTGGTATTTCTAGATTAGATTGTAAAATACCGGTTTAAGAATTACAGGTTTGCTGCGAAAAAATGCAGGTTTAGAAATTTTTTAAATTTTAGATTTTTCAGTAGAAAACCTATGAAAGCGCTTTTAAGAAAAAAGCGCTCTCGTAGGCCTACCTATGAAAGCGCTTTTAATCAAAAAGCGCTTTCATAGGTAGGCCTACGAGAGCGCTTTTTTCTGAACAAAAAGCGCTGCTAAAACCTTTAGCAGCGCCACCTACGAGAGCACTTTTAAGCGCTTTTAAAGCCCAAAAAAAAACGCTTTCGTAGGTTATTTCTGACATAGTGAAACAAATATTTTTAATGATTTCATCTTATTAGTAGTATTAATTGCATTAAGAATGTTCTATGAAATTATATTTCATATTAATAATTATTAGTTATACCTTGGTTCAAATTTGTAAATTTACATAAATAAGTATAATTTAATTTACAATTTTATTTTTACTAATTTGTTCAATTTTAAAAATTATATTTGACAATGAATTTATTATAAAAAGGATATATAATAAACTTTAACTATTTTTTTTAAAGTTAGTTATGTTCAATTTTTCTCATTTAAAAGGTTGTCCCAATTTAGCGAGTTTTAATTATGACAATAAAATATTTAATTTATAAATTAAAAATTATACGTATTAATTTAGCTGATTTTAATTATGACAATAAATCAATTTAATTTATAAATTAAAAATTGCACGTATTAATATACATATAATAATATGATATTATTGAAAGATTAATATATCAATTATCTCTATTAAATTTATTGACCGTTTTTAAAAAAAAACATGTAAAAAAGATTATGGATGTTTATAACTTGAGAAGAGAGTACATATTTTAAAATTATAAATTACAAGACATGTTCTTTCGTGATTATCTTAAAAATATAATTTATATTATTTTAAATTATTTATTCATATACTCTTTATTTAATTCATATACTCTTTCGTGATTTTGTAAATTATCTATTATACTAAAAAATTTATATCATCTAAAAAATTTAATGATAAAATGAGTTTTAGTTTCTAAATTACTATAAATATTTGTTTTGTAAAAAATAGAAGACAATTATGATAAATTTAACTATAAATATTTATTTTAATACAAAATATGATTCATCTATTTTTATTATCTTTATACGTGTAAGTATATTTATCATTATATTTTTAGAAATGATAAGGAATCATCATTATTGATTTTAGATTCATTAGAAATAGCTATACATTATTTAGAAATTATAATACTATTTACTATGAGTTATTATGAATTTAATTTAGTGTAGTTTTACTTAAAAAAAATTTAATAAAAGAAATTTAATTTAATATTAGAAATATGCACATTGCTACTATTCTTAAGGGGGTTACATAATGACTATTTCTATTAAGATGATCAGCTCATGGATTATGAAAAGTCTGTTAAAAGTTAGAGAAAATGTTAACAATCTCCAAGAATGGAATGATATGCAGCACAATAGTAAATTTCATACTAGAAAGATGTATCTGGCTCTTCTCCATACTGATACTAATGTTTCTTGGAGAACTGTTATGTTCAACAACATTACAAGATCAAGGGTAATTCACACATTTTGGATGGTTTGTCATAAGAGACTTGCCACTAAAGAGAGACTGGTGCGGTTTGGTATGCTTAGTCATGATGACTGTTGCTTTCGCAAGAACATTGAAACTCAAGAGCATTTGTTGTTCTCGTGCTCTGGTTGTAAGAACAAGAAATGTTTCTACATCTGGCCTTAAGATTTTGATTATAACTTTATATGGTATCATAAAGAATAATTGTATACTCTAATGGTTTTGTTCTAGTGTGTAGTTGCTGTTGTAATGTTCTTACTATGATATCAAGGCGTGTAACAATATCAGGTTCTGAAGATAAACACTACTGAAAGAAAATATTTGCTTACGTGTTACAGTTGAAGCCAAGATTATGGAATTCATCTTATGTAGGACATCTTGGGCAAAAAGGGTCACAGAGTATCCCTCTTCTACAGAGGTATAGTAAAGTATAAATAATAAATATGAATATATTTAACAATATATTTTATTATAATAATTAATAATTAATAAATTTAATTACACTTTTAATCTTCCTATTTCACGAGATTCGCATAACTGATTTTCATATTATAAACTCAAACTATTCTAGTCTTCCTCTAATATTTTCATATTTTTAAATGATGTGTTACTTGTGATTCATGATATATTATAGTATAGTAATATTTGTGAAATTTTAAAGATACCAAAAAAATATAAATTACATACTATTAAAAAGTATACATATCAATTTTCTATTAAAAAAAATGAGAGAAGACCAAAGCAATTTTGTGAACCTTTAGAAATATAAAAAATATAAGGTACAAGTCATTTAAAAATGAATAAATTATCAAAATAGAGAGAAGAAAACCAAAACTATTTAATTTTTAAAAAAAAAAAAGAGACTAACTCCATGAATGAGGTAAAATAAATGGATCAAAATTATAATTAAGTCAATAATATATCAGTCAAATGTAGTTATTAAATTGTTAAAAATATTTATTGTGTTTGAATTTGTTCTTTATCTAGAGTATTTACTAAATATTGTTGAATTTAACTAAAATACATTAACGGTGTAAATAAATTTTACACCGTCAATTAATCACAACTGTTGATTTAGTTTAAATATTTGACTTAAATTTTAATTTTTATTAAAGTAAGACATTTAAATAGTTATGAAGTACCAATGACTTAAATTTTTTTACACTAACAATACATATCAATTAATCTAAATATTCTTTAATTTGAAATATTAAAAAGTGAAATAATAAGTCATATTCTTAAATATTTTAAATATAGGTGGTCAACTTTAATAACTTTAAAAGATTTAAAATATGGTTTATATAGAAAAGTCTTAAAAAATATGTATTCTCTTCAACTTATCAACTTTTTTATATTTGTTGCTTTTATATAAATTCGAGGTTTTGCATAGCCATAATAAATCTCATTCACTCAATTGAAATTGAAGCTATTCAAAATGACAAAGTTTTCCTTCGTGCCAATTCTTGTCCTTTTCTTTATTTTTTCAGGTATGTAAACTTTGTTATTGTATTTTGTAGCACTTATATCTATGTAGGTAATGTTTATTTGTTGGGTTGATCAAACTTTATTATAAGAATGTAATTATGCTTCTTTTTTTCTTTCTTCCCCAGTTATAACAATGACATGTCAAGCAGACCAAATATGTACCACACCCCGTGAAGGTGATTGTTTCCTTGCTGGATGTCGACAATGGTGCTCTCAAACTTATAATGGTAATGGACATTGTCAGGCCTATGGAGATCTTGCTAGTCCTAAATATAAATGTATTTGTGTACATAAGTGTTAAGTCTATAACAAATATAGCACAAATTCTCCATTTTAAATGTAAGAGCATATCAAAATAAATTTAATAAAATCATGGCATTTATATGTTTCAAAATTGTATTTATGTGTTTTTATACTTATTGCGATTGAAAATTATTGTTAAATAAATTATAATTGAATTTTGTTAGATAAAAAAATAGAAAATAGAACATTTTGAGTGGTTATTTATTTAATTATAGTATATAAATTCAATGTTAGGGAATGTAGTTGTTAGATGTATAACTCTTGTTCTGTCGAAATACTTGTGTAGTGTATGTCGAATAATTTTTGTACAAGTTATAAGCTGTATTTGACAGAGTCGAATACAACAGATATTGCAGTCTGTCGAAATCATGTTTTGGGCTTTAGCATTTTGTCTAATTGAGTTTGGGCATTGTTTGTCTATATAAAAGGCTGTTGAAATCTAGAGTATTTACTAAATATTCTTGAATTTAACTAAAATACATTAACGGTGTAAAGAAATTTTACACCGTCAATTAATCACAACTGTTGATTAATTTAAATATTTGACTTTAATTTTAATTTTTATTAAAGTAACACATTTAAATAGTTATGAAGTACCGATGACTTAAATTTTTGTACACTAACAATACATATCAATTAATCTAAATATTCTTTAATTTGAAATATTAAAAAGTGAAATAATAAGTCATATTCTTAAATATTTTAAATATAGGTGGTCAACTTTAATAACTTTAAAAGATTTAAAATATGGTTTATATAGAAAAGTGTGATACGGTGGAAGAACTGACTTGAGGTTTGCGTTTGTATTCGCAAATGTTGCGGTTAGCAAGAGTCGCCACCGACTTTTTATTTTATCCTAAGGAAAGGTTAAAAAGCACAGCAAAAACCTTTTGAGATGTTTTCTTGGGTTCGGGGAGTAGATTATAGAAAGGGAAGGTATTAGCACCCTTTCTATCCATGGTTATCCATGGGCTCTTAGTTACTTGCTTAGATCACTTGCCTTTTGTTTTCAATTGTTTTAAATGGTGCTTGAGTGTGTGAGTTTTGAAAATGTTTTTTGAAAAGAGGCCAATGTGGTGGCAACCTTTGTAATGATCCATGTGGGGATGTATACAAAGATGTATGTCTTTTAAAAAGGTTTTCATTTTTTGAAAGTTGTTTTGAAAGTGTAGTGATGTGTGGTTTTTGAAATTAGGCAAATGTTTTGTTTTGCAAGTTGATTCAAGTAACTAAGAGGTTATCTACTCCTAAATTTCTCAAAAGATTATTGCTATACTTTAACCCTTTTAACAAGTTTGCACCACCATTGTATTTGGTGGGCAACCTTGTGTTAGGATGTGAAAGGGACAGGCGCGGGTCATCGTTTAGACCATAATTGTAACGACGTTAAATGTCTTTGGGCAATTTCTCTAAGGGACTTGATCATTTGTTTTTGTTTGTTTTGAAAAGTTTTATCGAGGGACTATGATCATTCAAACTGTTTGCTTTGCCCAAAGATGTTCAACATACAATATGGCCCATTTATTTGAAGGCAACAAGTGGAATACCCTAGGGGGTGCAAGTGTGATTTGTGTGTTCATTTTCATGCTTGTTTATCTTGTATTAGGTCAAACTATTTTTTATCGTTTTTTCGCATACAAACCCTAATTCTAGCATGTTATTATTTAGAAAGCAATAAAGTGCAAAATTAAAATTACTAAGCTATTACACAACCAAATATGGGAAGGGGGGTACAAATGTTCAAATGGGGATATTTGACAAGAATTAAAATCTAAATTATTACAACAATTGGATATTTTGCAATGCATAATTAAATGTAAATTAAATAAATATGTGAAATGCAAAAAGGAAGTTTTTATGTGTATGAGAAAATATTATTTATGTAAAAGGGAAAAGAAAATAAAATGTATTTATTTTTGAGTATTTTGAACTTAGGGTAAAAAAACCCTAATTTTTAAATAAAAGGTATTATTATCTAATTTGATTCTACTATTTATTTATTATTTATATAAAAAAAATAAAATAAAATGAAGTGTATTGTGAAAAGGTATTTTTTGTATCAAATATTAAATAAAAATGAAAAAATCAAATATTTTCATATTTTTGTCTTAAATGTATTAATAATTATATATATATATTTTATTATAACCCTAAATATGTATTATACAAAAATAAATATTTATTTAATATTTTAATAAAATAAATAAAAGAATATTTTTTGTGAAATATTTTCAGAAAGTAAATAAAAAAAATAAAAAGTGTATTTATATTATTTTTACATTTATTCTAATAATCAAATATATATATTTATGTACAAACTAAACAAATAAACAAATAAATATGCAATAAATGCAAAAAATAAAAAAAAAATATTTTTAATTTTCTAATGGCATGAGTAAAAATAAATGAAGTCAGCAAAAAAGGAAAAAGTCAAAAATGTTAAAAAATAAGCAAATGGGCTCAGGGGGGTGTAAGCCAAAAAGGATGGTGTGAAAAGCAACACAAATCCAAGCCCAGCCTACTTCACTCCTTCTTCAACCTCCAGCACAGGTTATTTGAAAAACGCGCGCCTATGTTCAGTCCCTTCTAACTCTTGATTCCTGGCTTTTTAGCAAAAACTCATAACACAAGAAATGTTCAGCATGAAGAGACGGTTCTAACCATATAAAGAACTTGACCTATCTCTCTAAGATGAGGGAGAATTTCTCTCCCCCTCTTTTCTGACATAATTTTTCTACCATTTTCAGATCTCAAATTCTCTCTACTCAGGCAAAAGAAATGAGAAGTAAAGCTATGTACATGTTCAGGGCTATGAGTAGGACCTTGTTTCTTCACAAACTTAAGACTAAATATGCCTAATAAGAGAGATACGAATTCAAACTTTTACCTGTGCAGTTGAACTTCTATGTGGAGAATGAGAGACTTTCAGTGCAATGTAATGATTGGAAAAGCTTCCTTGAGGTCCAGGGATGCTTTTTCAATGCTCACTTTGTCTTGAACCTTCTTGTATCAAGCTATAGAACTTCACCTGCAAGTTAAAGATGTGAAAATGGTGGAAGTGGTTAGAGCAACTACAGATCGTGCCTTAGCTTCTGGATAGCTTGCATATGTGGTAAGGAAGGTAGAGGAACAGGTTTTGATCAAAATGCTTGAAGGGAATGAGAGATTGCACTCAAACTGCAGGGGCACCCCTGTTTGTGCAGTTTGAGGATGATTCTGAGATGGAGGGTGTTTGAAAGGCAAATGGCTCGAGCAAAAGCTTCAATGTGGTATATGGAATGTGTTTGATATCTTTTGTGCTGTGTTCCTTGACTGATATGAGAGATAGCATATGTTATGGACCTTTCTTCACACTTAAGCTACCAAAAGCAAATTGGTGTTCTAGGTCAGTATAGGACCCCCTAATGTGCTGCATCAACTCCTCTTGATCAGTGTGTTATGCCCATAATCTTGTGTTAACCAGATCTTCTTTGTACTTGTTGGATTACAAACTTGACATAAAGCTAAACTTTTCAAAAATGGAAATTCCACTTTATCTAGTTTAGGATTAAACCATTATGCAATGTTAGAACACAAAGAACATGACCTTAACACATTGAATATGCATTAAATTATTGAGTATGGATTGGTTCAAGGACCTGTAATTAAGCATAAAGCAAACTGAATTCAAATTTGCAAATTTGTGAACATGTCTTGGTGAAGAACAAAAGTGAATTTTTGCCAACTTGTGAAATTCGAATCTCTCAAGTTATGAGGTTGTTTGATGAGTTCTTGGACATTTTGGAAAGCTTGGAATGTGTACTACAATCCATCTTTGAAATGCAATTTGAAATTCCAAGTGGAAGGGTATGAAAAGTGGCCTTGAAGTAGGGTAGAAAACCTTGTCAAAATAGGTCAAATTTCACTAAGTTAAAAGATGGTTTAGTGCCCTTATTCAAAAAATCATAACTTGAGATACAAGCTTCAAATGAGAAAACTTTGTGAATCAAAGTTGTAGATTTTGCAACAAGCTACAACTTTCATGTTTTGACTTTTGTTTGAATCCAAATGGATCATGGTGAAAAGATGGGGCAAAGTTGGGAAAAAATTAGGGTTTTCCATAACTTAGAAAAATTCTAAGTTTATGAAAAATTCCATTTTCAAACCCTAATTTGCATTTTGAGATTTCTTGGTGAACAAGTTTCATGATTTGGCATGTTTTGATGAAAAATGAATCTTGACTCTTGATTTTGACCAAAAAGTCAAAGTTTGACTTTTCAGTATACAGTCAAAATTGATCAATTGACTGGGAAATTCAACTGTCAATCTTGTGTACTTGGGATCTTTTGAGCTTGATGAACATGTCAAGATAATTCCATGGGGTCCTTGAGTCCATATGTGAGCTTGGTTTGCCATTGGCTAGATCAAACAGTCAAAAATTGCCTTTGTGCAGTCAAAACCCTAAAAATGACCATTTTGCCCTTTTGGTGATCTGATCAAATTTCTTGTGGAATTGTGATTCAAACTTGATCAAATGGTTCATATGAATTCAAAATGTTGATGTGGATCAAATTTCATGAGGTTTGACTGTCAATTGGCCACAGTTGACTTTTTCCCCAATACAGCTGATTTCTAGGTCAACTGTCCAATTGACTGGGTAAAACTTGGAATCAAGACCTGAAACTTGGTATGGGTAAACTTGGGAGTCCAATATGAAGCATGAAAGTTATCTTAGGCATTTTAGGTCAAAACATCTTTGTGCAAGCACAAACCCTAATTTGAGTCCACAGTGCAAGGAAAAGTCTTGAGCAGAGGAAACCCTAATTGTATCTTGATCTTTAAATGTCTTGTGATGAGAAAATGTTGAGGAAATGGGAGGGCAAATTTTGGGG